CGTCAGCTTATGATTTCTATACTGTAGCGAAACCCGGATACTATTTTTGCATGTAAAAATAAACGAAACAATAGCAATGAATAAAATAGACTAAGTTTTAAACGAGTACTTACTCGAATATTACTCGAGTATAAACTACTTTATAGTGACATAAAAACTATTTTTTTCGAAGTACTCTAATGCTGTTGGCCGCAACTGACACCAAACGATAGAATAAAATCTACTACTACTGTTACTATTTTCAAATTCACAGTTTTTAGCTAAAAGTAAAGAGTATACTTCCACTTGTACTTACATAAAAAAAAGTTTGTCTGTCTGACTGTTCTTGAGAATCGGTTGGACCTTATTTGAAACGATTTTCAGCCGCTAGTTAATATTATAAGAAATAACTTAGGCTACTTTTATTTTAGTTTTTTTTTTATAAAATTGAAATTACACGCAAAGTCCCAGGTAACAGCTAGTTAGTATTCTAATAGATTGAATATTCCTTTATTTTACCACTTTTGATAAATAAGTAGGTATGTTTATATTTATTCGTGTCAGTTTTAATAAAAAAACTTTTAAAAGTACTATAACGTGACAAACTTACGTGATCGTATTGTTCGTGCTTACTTTGGAAGAGTCTGGGCTAGGCTGGGCTATAATTATAAAATGTTTTATGTCTCAAATAACCACGCACTCCTCCATATATATGTAAAGTAGGTATTTATATAAAATTTGACCAGTGCGTGACTAATTGTGTCAAATATGGGCGTTATTAGTACAGAAAATTAGAAATATCTAGAACTCGTTTGTTTTTCTACCATTAATGTAGCGCTGGTGTTATAATCAATAAAAGTTATATAAATAACTGTTTTTTTAAAGTTATATATAACTTTCTTTGACAATTCACAGCGCCACCTAGTCCCAAACTAAGCAGAGCTTGTATTATGGGTATTAGACAACTGATATAAATACTTAGACACATTTTGTCATGTTTTCTATAAAATACCAATTATTAATACAAACAATAATACTCACGAATAGAATTATTTGTATTGTACGAGATTTTTGAATTTATGTTTGTCTGTCTATCTGTTTGTCTTTGCGAATCTGTGAAACGGCTGCACCGTTTTTCACTCGCAGATAGATAATGCTATAAGGAGTAACTTAAGCTTAGAATAACTTTCATTTCAGAAAAAATATAGATAAATTATTATTTATTTTCATAAATAAAACTTTCATTACACGCAGAGTAAGTCACGGGTAACAGCAAGTATATAATAAATATTGCCGAAACCCTGCACAAACTAAGATTAACGTATACTAATTATTGTTAGATGACTACTAACTTTTTAACTCGCAAATATTTTGCGAAAACTAGGTTACGAATCTGCACTCACTTTTATTGCTAAACTTTAATGTAAATAAGTACCAATATTTGGCGATAACATTCTTTAATATTTGGCTTATGACCAGTACAGTTATCGGTCTGATAAAAATACACAAATGGGGACACAGTATGTACACATCAATATTTTGTTAGTGAAATGTACAAAGAGATTTACTACCATATTGCGCGAAACTGTTATAAATATTTATTCTGCCGAACGAATAGCACTTTCAAATTATTGTATGTATTTCCCTTACTTAAAATGGAGCATTTTCAACACGATTTTAAATAAACATTTTTCAATTCCAAATTAAGTGATTTATCAATCGGGATATTTCATTCCTTTACATTCCGACATTATCATAAAAGAGTGTGAAGAAGTACATTTTGTACCTTAGAAATTTAGATATAATTAGGGTATAGTATATTTATATAGGGATAAAGGGTTTCTTTATCTATATACTCTTTACTGCACCAGGAAAATTACATTAATTAAAATTAAGAGCGTACAAACGGCGGTTCTGCCGCTTATGCAATCTCTCCCAGACAACCTTTGGGTAGAGGAGAAAAGGCAAAAAGGGTTCTATTTTCACTGGAATAACGTACATAAATAACTAATAGTGAGAAATTTTCTAAATCTTTCTCAATTTTGGTACATTGATGCCGGAGTTGACATTGCTTTAATTTTTTTAATTATTTTAACGAGATTGGGTTTTGTCACATAGCAAAACCCGGTCACGTTAAAATATTAATACACATAGACAAATTAAGTAACAGTATAAAAAAACGTTCTGAAATATTTTATCATAGATTATGAAACACAAAGTGTGTCGAATATGTAATCTACGTAATGGTTCGGAAATTGTTTTAGTGTCTTTGATTATGCCGTTCACATGTAGGGCATGAGGTTTGTTACCTGCCCTCATGGACAGTTGTGAAGCTATTGAACGAGTGTAACTGGGACAAATATATCAGAATTGGGGTAAATTGTGGAGGCAGCGCATCGACTTTTTTAATTTTATAAATGGCAACGATATAAACTATTAGGTTTCCTCTACTTGCCATGTTAAGATAATTATATATCTTATTATTAATATAAACGCGAAAGTTTGTGAGTATGGATGGATGTTTGTTACTCTTTCACGCAAAAACTACTGAGCGGATTTTGATAAAATTTACAGTAATGTAGCTTATACATCAGAATAACATATAGGCTATAAATTTCACGCGGCTGAACATAATAAATAGCCACGTTATCTGAATCCGATAAAGATTGATGTCGGGCTCGGTAGTATGACAGTTTAGTACACCGCTTTACATCTGATGGTCGCGGTTTCGATTCCTCGCACGGTGCAAACATTTGTACTCATGAGTCATGATTAATTGTATTAGCATGGATGTTTTCTATGTATATTATGTATGAATTTAATGTCTAAATATTTATATCTAGTACCCATAACACAAGGTTTGCTTTGTCTGTCATCTAGTCACAGTGGGACTAGATGGTGCTGTGTTAATTGTCCAGAATTATTTGTTTATTTATTTATTCAATAAGACGCACAAACACTGATTGTTAAATTTGAATAACTAAGCATGAATTTAAAATTATAAAAAACTTTTTGGATTTTGATAATTAATGTTTTTTTAATATTTTTTTTTTGTTAAGCACACCCAATTGTAGTTTTGGTATGAAAATGTATGTATTATAAAATGATTTTGCAACACTTCACATTTCTCAAAACAGAATAAACAAAAACTGTATGCATCTGCCTATTTGCATGCTGTTTTCTAAGGCTTGTAATGAACGCAATGGTTTTGATATTGGTTTCACTGTCATTACAGAGGATTTGTCTGTAATACATGCCTACTATACTATGCCTGAGAATATTTGTTTATGCACAGGATTTTTATAATGTTTAAACATAGCCACCTAAATAAGTAAACAATATTAACTAAATGGTTTTAAAAAGAAAATCATGTTGATTTTTTGCCAGTTCTTCTCAATTGAATCTAGAGACTGAAATGGAGAGTAGGAAACAAATATGAATGCAAGAAACTTAATGTTTATAAGAAATAGAAATAAAAATAATGATATTCAAATAAACTTAATATAAGTTTTTTATTCTACCACAGTGTAAGCCCTTTTGTCGTTTAATACCTCTTAATTTTATTATAAGCGGCAATTGTAACAGTTAATAATTTGCGACAAATATAATTTTTATTATCATTCCGAATGGAGATTTATCACAAGAAGAATGCGTGTAAGAATGAAAACTTGTGTGTTCGTATGCGACCTATAGCATAGTACATACACATACATAGTACTATATGAAAAAATATTTTAAATTTAATTTCATTTAATATTGTTTATATTGCTACATTTATATTCCTACAACTCGTGGCCTGCCACGGATCGTTAGTACGCGAATAAAAATAATAATGCGATAAGTTACAAATGTTCATACATATGTGTAACTATACATGTGTAACTACCTAGTTTGATCTTATTATTAGGAATGTTCCACGTCAAGAGGAAACGGTTGGCAACCTTGAACCCAACGAACTGAGCCCTCCGCTGAGCGCTGAGCTTACGGCTCGCGACGGCAGCGAAATTAATCACAAATTCACAATGCGATAGCATTTCTATATAGGCGTTTCGAGAATGTTATAATTAATAGCTTTTGATGAAAGCACTTGTTTCCAGTTACAATACAATATTTTTAGTTAATCCAAGCCTCTTTTAATCAACTCCGATGTCTATTCTTCTTGCCTGAATTTGCATAGAAATTTTAATTTATTTAATAATAATTTTATATTATCATACATGTCAAGCTCATTCGAGTTTATACGTATAAAGATTATTTGTCATATATTACTGATAAAAAAGATGGAAATTGTTACCATTTTGTACTTGGTGTGAGGGCAGATTTGATATTCGTGTTATTGAAAAATTAACCTTATTCCATTAATAAATGGCATGATTATTAAACCACAAATTTAGAGAACATTTTATCATATTTAAAAGTAATCATTATTTATGATGATCGAATGTTGGTCGACTCTTTGATACAAGTTTGTTTGAATCATTTTAAACCTTTTTTTTTGTTCTTGTTTTCTGTGTATCCCAATGGCAGGAAGCGACGTTTGTTTGATACTCCTTGTATAACTTAATTATTGCTAAATATTGTTTGAAATTTTGTTCATTAAAACTGTAAATTATATCGTCGTTAATTTAATTTCTATTTATATATTATTTTTATTAATAATTTAAGAAAAATGCTCTATTTATGTATTCTATCGACAAAAATAGTGAATACACAGGTTCAAGAAAATGTTCTAAAGATACATTTTTATAACCGGTAAGTACCTACCTACTTATGTACTTAATTTATCTAGCATGCCCATTTTGTGGACATCGTATTTTTACAGCGGTCGCTGTTGCATTATCATCAAAGCTGTATAAACTCTACATAGGCACATAATTTCTTAGAATTCATTCAACCTATGTTTAGTCATAAGTGATTTCATAAATGAATGAGTATTTATGGTCTCAATTATAATTAGTCTTGATATTTTTATACTATTTTCAATATATAATTTAGTAATAATATACTATATATTAACTTACCTGCATTTGCAGAAGTCTGGAGCCCCCGTTTTTATCCATCTCTCAATTTGACACAAGAATTTCTTAAAGTAACGTGGAAGACTATTTTTTTAGTTTATATTGTCCCTATATATTTATTTGGAATGTAATTTATTGCGCCAAATTTATCAATCCACATTCAAAAATAAATTAAATAGATTTACTACATGAGATTTTATTCAATAATGTAAACACATCAATCACAAAATTTGACACAAAATTGTTACGGCCGTTTGTCATTCAAATGTAACTTTTCCCGCGGAAATTTTTCAAAATCAGAACATATCACAGTCTATGGTTATTTGAGTTATAAACTTTAGTTTTAATGCAAACAGGAGTATAAAATAATGACTATTTAGTTTTTATTTACTTTTTTTTATTAGCCGTGCACTGAAGTGAATATTATACCGATTAAACAAGTCAACGGTCGCCAAGCGACTCAGCTGTTGCGCGGGACGCGGTTCACCGAGAGTTGGCGGGGCGTACAGCCTGCATGACTGTACGGTGAGTAATCGACAACTGGCTGGCTGCACCTACACGGCTGGTAGACCTAGACAATTACGATTTTGCCGCTGCAAATTTGGAAGTATTGCGATTTCGAACTGTAATATGAATAGCTTATGGCAACCAGTTACTCAATTTAGCGCGCTAAAATTTTGGATTAAATGTCAGACCGACTGAATCTTTGCACTTAAGTTAAGGAAAAACTGTGTTTATGAAATGGTAATATGTACGACTGGAGTGCTATATTTAGTTTACAATATAAATATTTAAACAAATTTCAAACCCGCATCCATAATTCAGTGAAAGCGATGTTATCGGCATGTAGCCTTTTTAACTTGAATTGTAGGTAACGAGAAAGTAACATACTCGTAGCAGCCTAGGCCGAGCTCATTTATTAAAAATTATTTTTATATGAATTCTTTGACTGTATTCATTTCGGTGCAATTCGTATCGAGCTATACCGATTTAGACTTTGTCAAGTCGTTTACGTGGGTGCTCAGTGTCACCTATTTTAGCAGCCGTGCAGCATACTCTGTAAGCCATGATTCGGTTGAAGAGCGTCAGGTTAAGACGTCATTTTAGTCCTCTAGAATGGCAACACTAGAGTGTTATTACAGGCGTCTTATGATAATAGTGCTGTTCATGTATATAGGCGAGGGTTACCACTTACCACCAGGTAGGCTATCAGTTTATTTGCCATTCCATTACAGATTTTTTTTTTATATACCAAAATATCTTATGATACATCGTTTATATAGGACTCCAGAAACACCAGAAGTGTCACGTGCGCGTTGCCGACCCTTAAGAAACCTTAATACACTCTTTTCGAAAAACCCCATGCGGTTGTCTCTGGAGAAAACCTCGGCAGAGGTAGTTCGTTCAACAATTTTAGTAAAAACGGGAGGAAGCTCCGCTGAAACCGCACTGTTGGAGATAATTCTCATAGCACGTCTTTAAACCCCGTCAAAAGGACCTAACTGGTATCCAAGTGTCCCTGCCCATAGACGAAGGCAGTAGTCCATATTGTGCCAATTTGTGACTTATCTATATAAAAGGAGTCTCTGGTCTGCAATGAAGTACCGCTTCGCTCTATTGAGCATTCCGAGTTTTTTCGATGCCAGCGTGAACTTTTCTGCGAAGTGACTAAGGAACTCAACTGTAGTAGAGATGTTGACACCGAGGATACTAATACCCTTAGATAGATGATGATGGACGTGTTCTGTATATAGACATGTCTATCTGTATGTGTTCTATCTGCTGGTAAGTGGGAAATTTATACACAATCTACCTCTATAAAACAGCATTTCATGTGGAAATGCTGTTTTGAAAGCTGTGTTTGTCTATTAAGTTTACAAAATTGATCCTTTTATTGACACTGGTTGATAAATTTTTTTTGAGGAAAAAAAAACACCATAAACTACACACAATGGGTGTTTATTTAAAAAAATTACATACAAACATTCATTATCTGTAATGTGTCACTATCTCATGTGAATCATAACGTACATAACATTGTACACACGACGTCGACTAGCTACACACGACTACTCGACTTATTTGTCAAATTGTCCACAAATCAACTAACACTACTATGTACGTTAGTTGAGGGTACAGTGCACTGGTACTGTGAATTTCTACGTAATTGCAATTGGCGGGAAAAAGTTGATAAATTGTCTATGACAAAACAGTATTTTTAAATCACATGAACAGCGCAGTAGACTGCTCTGTTCATGTGATATAAAAATCTTTTAGCTTATATATCTATTTTATAAATTGCATAATATGTAAAAAAAGTATAAATTAATAAAAAATATAAGAATGAAAATAATTGTGTTCGAAGTTTAAATTTAAATTAAATAAATTGACTGTCATTGAATGCTGCTTTATGATCGTGTAATAGATACAAAGAGTATACACAGTAATCATAGAGGTAGTAGTGATGTTACTAGTGTAAGATCCTATTACTGATATATTATTTGTGGTTTGGTTAATCTATTTTATTTAAAAATATACCATTTGTTAATAATTACTCCACACAATTTAATGTTATAATGAGACTTCCGATTACACTCCGTATATATTTTTTTATTCAATTATAACCTAATATTATTTATAATTCAAAGCTTAATACAAACTACACTACATTTTATAAATAACGAATTGAAATTATCCATTACACGCATCTATTAATAATATTCCGATGTTTTATCCCATTCCAAAGTGTCTCATTAGTACATTAAAAATAAAAAAATTATAGTGCATTGGCTCTATACACTAAAATTTTCTTATAGTTTCATTTGGTAGTAATAATAATAGTAGTTTCTAGTAGGTAATAATAAGTAGTTTCGTTATTATTTCTGTTAAAACTTGTATTTTTTTCAATAACAGTTGTTTTATTTAATTGTCATAATTTTAATCACTATTTGATAAAATAAAGCCACAATACCAGTGACCGTAATTTCATATCCACGTTTTTATTCTATTTGTCAGAACGTAATAAGAAATAGTTATTTTAAATATTCATATGGATTTTTCTGGAAATACAATCGATCAAGAGAATTTGTGAACTTGATCGAATTTTATTTTATTTGTTTGAGCAATTCCGACAAATAGATCAAAATACGTGTGATTATAAACATAATTCTCTGAACAAGCATTCACAAAATTATGATAATATCCTCGTCAGAATCAATAAAAAACGAACACGATAATTAATCATTAAAATTAAACATGCAAGCATTTCCTTACAAAAATATGTCATCTCGACGAATCCAGCGTCCACAATATTATTGCTGCCTAATATTAATTATAAATTAATTTGATCAACATAACAATCCAAGGATAAAGAGAAGAATGTATTAGGTTTATTAGTAGTAAATCTAAAGTTTCTAAGAACAACAATGCTAACTTTGCTTTTACGTGGTTTTTCAGCTTGTATACTTTTGACCATAGACTAGAAGTCCTCAGATTATTATGTCGATATCTTTAAAAATAAAAAAACTTATAAACACGTAATTTATAATATTACTATTATTTTTGTACCCGTAACATTTTATAATTAAAAATAATAGGAAAAATTGAATTAATGTAACGTAAATATAAATAACTACAAAATACATAAACAACAAGAAACTATCAAGTAAAATATTCTACGGGTATAATAATATGGCAGTTATTATATAAATAACAATTCTAAGAACAATAATTGTTTAAAATAATTATTATTTATATAAAATATCATCTATTTAAACTATACCCTTTACAAATTCTTATGGCGCCATCTTGAATATAAACTTTTTAATAAAATAATATTTAAAATGCGTTTAAAAATTGTCGAAATTATTGGATACCACCAACAATTCAATATTCTCTTTCAAAAAACCAATCTCAATTTTTCAAATGTAGTACCTTCATAAAGGTAACCATTTCCATTAAAAATTATAATAATTACACTAATATAGGGATTACACCGTAATACGTAATTAATTACTACGACATGTATTAGCTACATTGCAAGATTTAATAATAAAACATTTATTAAATTCAATTCTATGAACACATAGGGGTATAAAACAAATATTACAACAATATATTAAATTATTAAGGTACTTACGGTAAAACTCAAATACATCATTAAACAGATTATATAACATAGAAGATGTAAATGTAGATATTATTTATCTGTATCTTAGATATCACATCCCTTAAGGGATCTTTGTGGAACCAATGATAAATATGTAGACGATTAAATTTAATATTCAAGATGACCTTTAATATTAAAGAGTATTTCTTAACGAAGTCTCGCAACGTCTGACTTTACTGTCAGTGTTCAAAAACAAACAATTTTCAGTACATTTAAATGATTACTCTATAGTATTCTGATAGTACTCTAGTAGCGAATATTTACTGCAATATTGAAAATTTATAATATAAATAAATTTAGAAGTTACTGTTACCGAAGAATTGGATTTCGTTGGTAGAATTATATTTGAAAAAACACGAAACAAATGGGAAACTAATTGAATAGTATATTTTAAAAAACATGGCCAAAAATTAGTTATAATTAAACATTTAAAATACCAATTTGGCCGATTAGGTATATTAATATACCTATTTATAATAAAAATGTTAAATATAGAAAAAAAATAATCGACATCAATTTACATGTAGGTAACATAAGTAGTCTATGGTAAAAGTTTAGAACACTTTTTCGGTAATCATATGGTTACGTTGAAAAGTTTATTTTTTTCCAAATTGACAGATTATTCAGACGTTGCGACTCTTTAAGTTATTCCTTCCAAAATAAAAACTTGCAATGTAGCCTGTCTCGCGGGGCCCGGGTTCTATATCTTAATGACCATGCAAGGTACACACAACACGGGTATCAGGTAATAATAACGTTAGGCAGTCTTTGGGTAGGTCGGAAGATTTTATAGCATCTATATATATATATTTATTAATTGTACTAATTTACAATACCACACCTAAATATATTGACTCTATGCCAAACGTTGGTTACAATACTGGGCGTTGAAAGATCTTTTAGAAATAATTAGCGTTAATATTGTTCTTTTATTTCACACATTTCATATATAAAATACAAGTCCGATATTGCTCGTATTACACAATATAAAATATATATTAATAGAATAAGCGAACACATTGTAAATACAAGCTTCTATAAAACTGTGCTGTGGACCATTATAAAAAATCTGTTTGCGGTTTAGAAGAATAACGTACATAACAGTGAAATCTCTTTTTTGTACAGATACTTCTTCTAAATCTCGGACAGCAAATTTATTTTACATTATATAGAAATTATTACAGTATCGTACATTTTATTTTTATTAAGTTCCCAAGGTTCGGCAATTTTGATCGCCATGATGACGGGTAAATCGTATATTATTGACAACTTGTCTGTATATTGTATTTGAAATCACATGTTACATATATTTCTTTGACTATTTTAACAAAATAAATTAAATACATAATGACTTTTAAATATTTTAGTTCATTAATTTATATAATTAATGTAAATATTTTTCATATTTGATTGAGTAAAAACAACGTTTATCGGCATCTTTATTCCTAAAAGATATTTCATTTTTTATGGAGTTTTTTTTTTTCAATTCAGACGAATATTTCTCTACCGACCACATTCACTACATACTAACACCGAGTTGAGTATCTTACGTCTAAAATACGAATCATTCACGATTTTACGAGTATATATAATAATTTCTCTGTCGTAATTGGTGTCAATGTGGGGTCAAGCGTGTGTCGCTTATTTTAGGGCAAAACACTTACGCTCCATTTTGTATTATCACTATCCTTTTGTGACGTACATACAGATACAGTATCTTATATATGCATCTTAGGATACTATTCTTTGGAAAGAATAATGATACTTACAATTTCATGTATTTAACTTACAATTATATATATTCGAAATTGCTTCCAAAAGTAGTATTAAAAACAAAATATTTTTTTCAGTTTTTAGATGCTTATGGTATGTATTTTGGATACAATTAAAACCATATGGCTGACGATTTGTACTTTGATAATTATTTTAATTACTAACTTATCTTAAACAATATTTTTTTTGGAAAATATTAATATTTCTTGATCCAAAATACGACAAATTAAGAACGCAAATTTATCTTAATTTATATTATTATTATTTAATTTCGTATTTATCTTTTTTATACAAAATAGAAGTGTATGTATTTTGCCTTATTTAAATGCATCGCGCTTTGCGCAGTAGATACAATTTCTCAAAAATATAAAGGACAATTGATAAGAATATAAGCATATACCCTGAAAGTGTCGAGTAAATGATTCGAAAATTTGTTTTGCATAAAGACATCATTTTCAAATTCAGATAAAATATGTCAAAATGTAACAAAACAATAATTTATTGTTATTTTCACTTCTCAATTAGCTAACTTGACATTAATAGAACCGTAATATACCATTGAAAACGTTGTCGTTTACCAATTTACTATCCCAGCAAATAAAAAAAGTATAGTTTGTTAGTTCAATTTCCATAATATTTTTCCGCGATACATTTAGAAAAATAAATCAACCACTCAAAAAAATAGAAATATAGCTTTTAAGTATGTAGTACAATTATTAGCATTTCTTTTTACTGGTATGAACGAGTAAATAAATATAACTAAAGAATAATAAAGAAATACTTTAAAGAGGTTCTATTATTATCAAGTTTTTATTAGCAGAAAAAGTTTCGTATCAAATATACCTTTAAAATAACGGGCAACAGTGAGTATAGATAAGACAGAAGAAATCGTAGTTGTTATCTCCAATCGGTTGACCATTTGCTAACACTAATCTAAGCTGTATAGGCCGTACAACTTCAAGATCTAAACGGATTTATGGCTACACACATTGTTTCTATGACACACATACAGTTACTACAGAGCATGCAACTATTAATGTATTGAGTTTTGAATTCTAATTCTTAAAGTTCATTTTCGATTGCAGTGTAGAATGATCTTACTGAAAGACTGGCAACTTTTATATTCCTTTTTCAAATTAAAAAGATAATTACATTAATTTATTACTACTATTACAGCCATTTTGAAACGTGATTATAAATATTTGGCACTTATACAAAATAAACAATGGAAATGAAATTTTAAAGAATCATTATTTTAATTATAACTACAAATTAATTATCTAATAAATAATTAAACAATATTCAATATTTCTAATAATTAATCAGAAGTATTAAAATTTGTTTATGTATGGTTGCCAGACTTTGGTGATAGATTAGTGTCAACGTAGATCTATTGAGTTGTACGGGTTGTGCCCCTAGTACTATCCTCAATCTACTGACAAAATACAAAATTCATAAGATGGGTTGTTTCCACATTCATATATACTTCATCATAATTGGCACATCATATTATCGTGACCAGCACAATATCCATCCTCTAATATTGAGCAACGAATCGTCCGTGAATGATGATTAAACATCAGTAAATTTTATTGAAAAAGAACAAAATCAAGACTGTAGATTCTACTCGTCTAGACATTTTATTGCATTCCAATCGTGTAATAAAGTTATCTTATAGAAATACAAAGAAAAAATATATTATCTCTTTCGCTAACAAATAAAATAGTTTTGGTTCAATGCACAAGAAACTTACATAAAGTTGGTATATTTCAAATAAAGCTGTACAAAACATTATACACTGTGTAAAACTCTTAAATACTCGCCTAAAGTAAAACTGTTAACTTAGAGTAATTTAAGTTTACAATGCAATAAACTATTTTTTATCAATGTATTTTAAATGTAGATTATATTATTAATTCGAAATAACGTTGAGTAGAATCGACAGTTTGACAATGTAATTCGTTAAAGACCACTATGTGCTGATTTGAATAGAGATTCTATGTATTAAATCTGAGCGAACTATGAAATAATTCATTTAATTTGCCGGTACAAATTGTAATTAAATTTTACATACAATTCGAAATTAATTTGCGTTAAAATTAACTGAACGCAATGCAGTTTGGTTCGTGAGAATTAATTACGTTTAAATAGTAATTGGATGTATAGTTCTGTTTGCACAGGCTTCTATATTTGCTCAGATTGCTGTTTAACAACAAATTGTCTGTTGTAATCCCATATTCAAGTTTGTACATACAATGTTCACTTTCCAAATCAGCACGTAATGTAAAATGAACTGAAAGTTTAATACGGTAAGTGTTAATATGGTTTACATCATGAAATCTCCGCAATCGACACCGAAGTCCCAGTCGTCTGATGTGCCGGCAGTGTCGTCGTACTCAGCCAATGCCTGATCGTAAACTGATGCCTCGTATGCTGTCACTCCATCCAGCATGGAACAAGCTTGGGAGACGTTGGTATGATGCATAATTGGCATAGCGTGGAGCGTGAAGTCTTCGCCTTCTTGTGACCAGGTCAGGCCTGGAAGTATGAAATGAAAAATATTAATTGTACATTAATATGTAAATTCAGATTACCTAATCAGAGGCAATATCAACTTTTTTTATTTATTAATATGAAATGGTGCACCCGTTTGAAACAATAGTATACGCTGGTTATTTATACTGATTAGACTTTAATTTTTCTTCCACATTCTAAATAGTTCACTTAACATATGAACTTTTGAATAATCATATATATTTTTTTCGAAACTCGCACTACAAAACCACGGAAGGACTTATGGAACAGCTGAAAACTAACTCCTTCCTCATGGATAAGATTTTAGTCTTAGGGCACAGGTACAGGCAGTAATTACGATCCCTGTTTGAATTGGATGGCGTTTCGATTGGAGGGGTTAAATTCCAGTATGTAGTGGATATTTAAATGCCGCTTCATCACTGATGCCGTAGAGTGTAGTGGGGATGATAGGCTAGTCTATATAGATGATGACTAGTGGAATATGATAGTATAAACCCGTCGTGTCGAATTATTTATATATTAGATAACTGACATAGTAGCAATTACTAGAAATGAGAGCCTTATCGTTTCCAATACTAACAATCCCGTTTCCCCGACATTATCAACTATCGAGGATGGGATGAACGTAACTTTGACATGTTCACATCTCGCTGGGAATATTTGAATGCAAATGTCATTGCCCGATTATTCCATATGGGGTCAGTCAGAGGCATTGTGAACTCTATTTGCTTTATACGTTCTACATATTACGTCATGATCGGGTAAACCGTGATCATGACGGTTGAAACTCTGGCGAAATATCAGGAACTCAATAAAAACAAATAAAACGTAGTAAGTGTATACGTGTGTATCCTGTGGTTTTTCCTAATTTATATATAAATAAAGTCCACGTCAAATTTGAAACAGTATGTATTTACTTTACGGTGAACAAAACACTTGACATGCCCACATAACAAGAGTTTACGGGATCTCAGATTCTATTAGTTATCTGTGTTTCCATCATTGGAGAATTAGTCAAGAATATAAATTGATACAAATTTTTGTGTCGTCCAGATTTGAACTCACGACCTTTGGGCCACTTTAGGGTGAAAGCAAACCATTAGTCCAAGTCACATGCTAGCGTAACTTTAAAAAATATTACTTACGTCCGCTCCAAACGCCGTTGGGCAATGTGACCCATCCCCAACCCTGGCCCCATGCCAGTTCGTGGCCGAGCTGGCCAGCCAACGGAACCTGCCTCTTTATGACTGCGACCAGCCCTCGGCCATCCAGTGCGCCGATTGTGTTCCGACCGTTCCTGGAGTACACCTCTGAAGACGTAGCTGGGAAAATTAATATTGAATAGTTGTTAGATTTTTTAATACCTGGACGACAGAGTTTTCTCGATATTGTATAATTATGAAAAAATAAATGTATTTAAATATTATTTTATACAAAAAACTAACTCAAAATACAGACTTTCATTATGTAAAAAGCACAGAGTACTTTATAAAAACCATCGACTACAAACATTACAGACAAATTCGACCAAGAATAATATCCAGAAATACTACAATTTTTAATTGAGTTTGCTATCAATTTTTCAGATGAAATTTAGAATTCCTTTTGAGTGACTATGTAAGTTATTCCAGTTAACTGTACACACGAGTACAAAATACTTTTGTTAGTATAAGTATTTATGTAATTACTATGCATTATAGATTAAGCAATATAAAATAAACATCCGTTAGTTGTCACGCAGGGATGATAAAAGGCTTATCAATGCGTGATGTTAAACAGTATTATAGGATTAAAGCTATTTACAAGCCCTTTAGTAGTATACCTTATTTACCCTAGGTTCATATGTAAAAAAAAAACAATTACATGTAGAAATGCAGAATAACAGATTAAAAAAAATATTTCTTACATATGTAACGGGAATTCAGTTCAGTATAATAGTACTAAATACAAATATAGTACTAAATATAAGTAATTCTACCACTCCTGCTGTGGGTGGGATTGTTAAACAAAAAAAGTTTCATAAGAAAGCGGTTAAACTGCTTTCGGATAGAGAATTGTAAAATCGGTTCTCCCTGTTTACATCGTAAAAAACAGGCCTGAAGACTGAAAGGTCAAGCAAAATATTTAACAACTTTCTATCTGTGTTAAGAACACAAAGTTTTTACACTTGCCACAATGTACCTACTATCTGGAAACTTAACTCTCTAAATTTAACACTCGCTCCCCTAAATTAATAATATACAGCAATTTTAAACCGATAATAAGGTACGAAATCACAGACAAATTATTCATCATGCAAGAAGATACAACTCCAGAGCAGTCGCTCAAGCCTTATTAAACATCCATTGGCTAATAACGCCTGCCTGGAATCTTGTTAGCAATTTTTCAGTATTAAATTTTAAAATTATAACACAAGTAGGCACTTATTGATATATAAGAAAATTAACAAACTCCTTATTAAGAACCCAGTTAATTAATAAAGAAGGATGGTGGGGGAGACAAAGACTAAAACTCATAACTTTTCCGCCATTGTTGGTGGCATATGGTAGCCATGATGTATACGATGATACGTCAAACTGCAAATAAACAGCTGTTCGAATCCAGTTTTGATTGAGATAAATTATAAGATATTAAGAATATCTGTAATATATAACGAATTGTGATAATGATCAATTCGCTTAATTGTTTAGTTACATATAATTCGGGTTTTTCATTGTTTTTGTACAGTTTTCTTCTTTCATTTGATTTGAATTTGATCTTTGTATTTGAAATTAAGGATGAATACCGTTGAATTCATCCGAAATTTGAACATTAAACTGTATTACCGTAATAAAGTACTTTTCTTATTTGAAAATAATTAGATCTGAGTTATATTGATTCTTTTCAATCCAGACTACATCTGAACTAACGGTAAATTTGACTTATAATAAGTGGACAGCAATGAATAAAGATACCTATTTTGGATTCATTTTGTCGATATAATTTTCTGTATAACTCTCAATTTACTCAGACTTTGTATTGTATACTAACTTTTGTTGCATTGATGTTATTGTCATTCCTATAGGGTTTACTTTAAAAAAATGTTATAGCAGCTGTTGAATTGACTTTGCTAATTCTTACACACACAAACATCACTAATGCAGAATATAATACTGCATTAGTGATGTTTGTGGTTTGTAATAAATAATTGTGGTTAACGGTGTTGGTGATATAGTACGATAATTATTAATTAAGCAATTAATAATTATCAGTATGTATATACAGAATGTACATACTATTTGTTCACCTAAATAAAAAAAATACAGATATTTATAATCAAATAGATTATTAGTACTCCTAAAGAACTTTTTGGTAATGCACTTAGAATTGAGAACTTAATCGACACAAAAAATTACACAGGACATTCGAAATTTTTAAAACAGTAATAATAAACTATTGGACTACGACTCTCTCATAGCAGAAATTTCGATGTCAGTTTGTTTAGATATTTACCCTTATTTCTGAGATGGTGCCACTATTTTAACAAGACATAGTAAAAGGTTGGACAGATTATACCCAAGGCACCACTGCGGTAAATGTCTTGTGCTAACATACAACCTGTGGTGTTCAAATTGTGGCTCCCTAATGAATGCTTTGTGTACTTATGAATCTTGCTGTGAATGATTCAGTGTGATTTTGGCCATTCGAATATCTCTGTGTAGTAGTAATTGGCTTATTGCTTTCTTAAAATTATTAAGATTCAATAATCGGTGCAATTTGATAACGAATTCTGATGTAATCTGTAAAAACATTGATATTTTTAATTTAAAATTTAATTTCTGTTGTTTTAATGGTTTGTATTGCCCATAGTTATATCCTTGTGAAATTAAAAAGAAATTATCAAATAAGTTTTTCTCGCCAAAATAACAATAAAAAAATAACTCTACATAACACACACAGCGCTATTTAGTCAAATTAAGCAGGAATTAACCAATGTATTCTGGATTGAAAACACAAGTATATTTTTTGTCAAAACATAGGTACACAATGTATAATTTTAAAGAACACCTAGATAAATACAACAATTATAATCATGAATACAAATGTTTGTATTGCGCGAGGATCGAACCTGCGAGCATTCCATTTTCAAGCAGTATTCTAAACCGTTATCAACCGAAGACATCATAATTAGAACAGTAACAGAATGTAGAACTAAGTTTATAGCTGTACAGGTCTTTTCTATAACAAAACCTTTTAACTTTTAAAAGAGAAAATAACCTTTTTGGACCCAGCCCAATCCCCATCGAGGGGCGAGCACGAGTGACCGACTTTACAAACTTGTAATGCGCAAGCCGTGTCGCTCCGTGACCTGCCAAACAACCCTGCTATGTGTCTACAACACGTGTAATGTAAGGAATACCTTTGTAGGTAGATCCCCCTAACAAAAGATAAGGAAAATTCGCAAATCCTTGCGAGGTGGGAAGTAGAAAATATCACGCTGATTTCTGAAAGTTTATGTAACTGGAATGGGAAACAAGACGATGGCTTACCTGATGGTAAGTGGTATCATCACCTATATATAATTATGAACAATAACATAGACATCAGGTCATCATGAGATCCCCGTGGTACATTATTCTAGTCCTACAGAATGGCAACGCCTTGTAATTCACTTTAATAAATTAAGTCACCAATCAACGCAAAATTAAAAGTACAATACAAGATGCTTGCCGACCTGATGAATAACTGAAACAGAGTTACCCACCCACACAGACGACTTTATACAAAGTATACTTCGTTAAGATTATTATACTAATTCTCATGAGAAGGAAACCTACATTTAATCCACATATCTAATTATCTGTTGTAGTTATAAAAAAATAACACTAGTTCACACAAAAAGGTAATATTGTAAGTTCTATATTAAATACTAAAACCATAATGAGGTTAAATTATGGATGTTTGTATGGATGGTTAATTTCCGGTACTACGGCTTTGCATTCGATATTGCGCTGGATAGCCCATTCATAGAGAAACCAATATATATATATATTATTGTAAGTCACGTTAACCAATAGTAGAGCATCTGCAATGAAAAATGTCACCATCGACACGGAATTTGTACCCACATGTTGTAACCTAAGTGGCCTCGGACAGTGCGGTTTCAGAGGAGCGTCCCGCGTACACTTATATTGCGGAATTAATTACCTACCGAGGTTTTTCTCTAGAGATTACAGTGTGGGGTTTTTCAAGAAGGGTATAATTAAGATTTCTTAAGGGTCGACAACGCGCACGTGACTTCCCTGGTGTTTGAAGCATCCATAGGCTAAGGTAACCATTTACGTATGAGTCATAATTATTTTTGATAGCCACTATAGAGGTATAAAAAAATTGCAAAAATGGCGAAAATTTGACGAAGACAAAGCACGGGTCAGCTAATATACATATAATGCAGATTTTACATACTTTGACCTCGGTCAGAACACTTTTAAGATGTTTGATCAATATTAAGAAATGGCAAACATGTTGGCGGTCACCTTATTGGGAAGTAGGTAGTCATTGCAAACATAAACAATTGCAATTACCATGGACATCGCATACTGAGAAGCCGAGGGCGTCCTTTGTGCGTTATAATTTCCGTGAACAAAGGTATTATGGCTCTTGTATACGTGATTCCAGTGGCTTTATTACCCTTCAGACACGCAACAACGCCTCACCGCAGAAATAGGGAAGATGTGCTCAGAATTCCTTCCGCCCAACAAGTACTGTATGATTATTTTCTTCTATTATTGAGCCATTGAAAGGTGTTTTAGACCTGTAGCACTACGACCTACGGAGATCTATTGTGCTCGCTCTGTTTTAAAGTTCGCTACCTAGACCCTTCAATAAATAATAAAAGGGCAATAATTGAAGAATATTCTTACAGGAGCGACGGTTTTTATATCTTCAGGATAGAGTGTATCCTTTCCAACGTAGATATTTCATTTATACATGAGTTAACTACAACCATAAGATGTGTAGTGGTGTTTCTTCTTCATCTAGATAAAATCTGCAGAACTTTGTTAAACATAGGCATAAGTTTGACATGTGTTTATTTAATTTGTAGTGTCCAGTTAGGATCCTAGTCACAATACTTACAGATATTGTTTTACTCAATAGCAGTACTCTATTAAGGATTGATTTGAGTTGCCCGATATTACAGTTTTAGTATATGCTAATCCTGTCATTTTATGCCAATGAATGAATGATCATAGAACTGGATCAATATAGTTTATCTATCGTGCATTATTGAACTTATATATCTTCTTTATTTTTTTATATTATTTATGTTTGCATAATTCAC